ACATTTTAACTCGTCTCCAAATACAAACTCAAAATCCATGTAAAAACTCCATTCAACCATCTTTCAACTTTAATTCACTTCATTCAATAAATGCAAATCACATCCAAAAAACTTATATTCAATCGTACCCTTGTGTTGTCTCCAAATTGATCCTCCTATAACTTTCAAAGTCATTTCCTTTAATTAGTTCGCCTCACATAAGAAATTATAGGGACAGACTAATTTGTTGATATGATCATGAGTATCGCTTTTGCTTTCGAGCCATGCTATAATAATACAAAAGAATTGGTTACACATTGAAATAAAACACAGGGTTTGATACTTAACACTTCATATTATTTTTGAAGTGTTAAATATCAGAACACCCACATCATTTTCTGTCAAATTGTATAACAATACAGTATATAGTACGGTAGATTTTTCCTTTCCCTTTACACCAAAATTTAGTCCCTGTGATTTCATTATTCGATATAAAATTTAGTCCTCTTCTGCTTGGTTCCCTTAATCCTTGGTGTTCTTTTCTTTTCCTCTGTCAATGCTCTTGAGCTTCTTCACAATTTCGTAAGAGTCCCACTGTAGTTCCTTCTCTCCTGAAAGGCCCCTTTTGGCAGCCAATCCAATTAAATTCTGTCACTCGTGGTGGCAAGGTTGTTGCACTATCAGATTCTTGCGACGCCTTTCCCAAACGAGCCGCATACCCACTCCAATTTTGATCCTTGTTTCCTTACTATACAGGTAAGGACAATAAGTTGACAATGAGCTTATAAAATGATTTGTGTGCTCACGAAAAGAAAGAAGGAAGAGTAGCGACGATTTTTAACGAAGATCGACAATTTGGACTTAAGGGTTAGTTACAAAAGGTATGCTTGAGATTTGATATTTACAAAACAACCCGTCAACTTGAAAATTATGAAACTATCTTTAAGATTCTGTTAATGTCTAGTATGACTTACATTTACAGCCTTCATAAGCAAAAAAGCATTTCAATGTTTTTATTTTGTAACCCCTAAAATCCGTTAGTGCATCTAACTTGAAAGTTGCTTCGTATTTAAAGAAGACATCTTGAAATTACCCCTAAATTCAAAGGACGCAAAAGCTTATCCTACCTTCGAGCATGCCTCGGGTTACGCATCGTCATCTTCAAGATTTGGTTAGAGTCCCATTGTACTTCCTTCTCTCCCGAAAGGCCCTTTTTGGCAGCCAATGCAATTAGATTCTGCCACTCGTAGTGGCAAGTCTCTTGCACCTTTAGCTTTTTCCTCTGCTCAATGCTCAGAGACCACTCCTTTAGTTCCTTCTCTCCTGAAAAGCCCCTTTTGGCAGCCAATGCAATTAGATTCTGCCATTCGTGGAGGCAAGCCTGTTGCACCATCATATTCTTGCGTCGCCTTTCCCAAATGAGCCGCATTTTGATCCTTATTTCCTTACTATACACAGGTAAGGACAAGAAGATGCCCATAAGCTTATAAAATGCTTTATGTGCTCGTGAAAAGAAAGAAGGAAGAATATCATCGATTTTTAAGGAAGAATGACAATTTGGACTTAATGGTTAGTTACAAAATGTATGCTTGAGGTTTGACAATTACAAAACAACCCATCAACTTTGAAAATTATGAAACAATCTTTAAGATTCTGTTAATGTCTATTATGACTTACATTTACAGCCTTCATAAGCAAAAAAGCATTTCAATGTTTTTATTTTGTAACCCCTAAAATCCGTTAGTGCATCTAACTTGAAAGTTGCTTCATATTTAAAGAAGACATCTTGAAATTACCCCTAAATTCAAAGGACGCAAAAGCTTATCCTACCTTCGAGCATGGCTCAGATTACGCATCGTCATCTTCAAGATTTGGTTAGAGTCCCATTGTACTTCCTTCTCTCCTGAAGGGTCCTTTTTGGCAGCCAAGGCAATTAGATTCTGCCACTCGTGGTGGCAAGTTTCTTGCACCTTCAACTTTTTCCTCTGCTCAATGCTCAGAGACCACTCCTTTAGTTCCTTCTCTCCTGAGAGGCCCCTTTTGGCAGCCAATGCAATTAGATTCTGCCATTCGTGGAGGCAAGCCTGTTGCACCATCATATTCTTGCGTCGCCTTTCCCAAATGAGCCGTATTTTGATCCTTATTTCCTTACTATACACAGGTAAGGACAAGAAGATGCCCATAAGCTTATAAAATGCTTTATGTGCTCGTGAAAAGAAAGAAGGAAGAATACCATCGATTTTTAAGGAAGAATGACAATTTGGACTTAATGGTTAGTTACAAAAGGTATGCTTGAGGTTTGACAATTACAAAACAACCCATCAACTTTGAAAATTATGAAACAATCTTTAAGATTCTGTTAATGTCTATTATGACTTACATTTACACCCTTCATAAGCAAAAAAGCATTTCAGTGTTTTTATTTTGTAACCCCTAAAATCCGTTAGTGCATCTAACTTGAAAGTTGCTTCATATTTAAAGAAGACATCTTGAAATGACCCCTAAATTCAAAGGACGCAAAAGCTTATCCTACCTTCGAGCATGCCTCGGGTTACGCATCGTCATCTTCAAGTTGGTACTTCCTTCTCTCCTGAAAGGCCCTTTTTGGCAGCCAATGCAATTAGATTCTGCCACTCGTGGTGGCAAGTCTCTTGCACCTTCAGCTTTTTTCTCTGCTCAATGCTCAGAGACCACTCCTTTAGTTCCTTCTCTCCTGAGAGGCCCCTTTTGGCAGCCAATGCAATTAGATTCTGCCATTCGTGGAGGCAAGCTTGTTGCACCATCATATTCTTGCATCGCCTTTCCCAAATGAGCCGCATTTTGATCCTTATTTCCTTACTATACACAGGTAAGGACAAAAAGATGCCCATAAGCTTATAAAATGCTTTATGTGCTCGCGAAAAGAAAGAAGGAAGAATACCATTGATTTTTAAGGAAGAATGACAATTTTGACTTAATGGTTAGTTACAAAAGGTATGCTTGAGGTTTGACAATTACAAAACAACCCATCAACTTTGAAAATTATGAAACAATCTTTAAGATTCTGTAATTCTATTATGACTTACATTTACACCCTTCATAAGCAAAAAAGCATTAATGCCTTTATTTGTAACCCCTAAATTCTGTTACTACGTCTAACTTGAAAGTTACTTCATATTTAAAGAAGACATCTGGAAATTACCCCGAAATTCAAAGGACGCAAAAGCTTATCCTACCTTCGAGCATGCCTCAGGTCAGGCATCGTCATCTTCAAGATTTGGTAAGAGTTCCATTGTAGTTCCTTCTCTCCTGAAAGGCCCCTTTTGGCAGCCAATGCAATTAGATTCTGCCACACGTGGTGGCAAGTCTCTTGCACCATCAGCTTTTTCCTCTGCTCAATGCTCTTGAGCCATTCCTTTAGTTCCTTCTGTCCTGAAAGGCCCCTTTTGGCAGCCAATGCAATTAGATTCTGCCACTCGTGCTGGCAAGCCTGTTGCACCATCACATTCTTGCGTCGCCTTTCCCAAGCGAGCCGCATACCCATTCCAATTTTGACCCTTGTTTCCTTAATGTACAGATAAGGACAAGAAGATGACAATGAGCTTATAAAAAGCTTTGTGTGGCCAAAGCTCATTAGTGCCTCTCTACAATTTCGTAAAATATTAAACTCAAAGAGATATCTGATATGGATTGAATTTGATGGGAAAAAAAAAAATTGAAGTTCACAAGAAATATCTGAATAAGATGTCAAAGAAGAAAAATCATTGCTGATGCAATCTTTAGTTATGTCCCCTTCAAATATATTTCTTAGGGAAATTTCAACAGAAACCAGTGGTAAAGTCATGGTACTAAAGTGGTATCACATCTTCCCTCATATAGGTTTATATAAATCTTATTTTAGAACCACAATTGGTAGCAGCAAGTAGAATAAGAAAAGCTTAAAAGCTTGCACAAACGTTAAACAAAATAATATTTCAGAAGCATGCCTCACATCTCACTGCTACAGTACCAAGTGAGGTATTTTGAAGGATTAGCAGAACCTCAATGACTCAAGAGACACAATCAAGGGATTTAGGAGAATGTCTTAGTTTCTTTTATTCGTCACCTTAGGAAGAAATGCTACCCAGGTTCTCTCTTTCATTTTCCGCAATGTTTCTGCACATGTTTTTAAAAGAAACTCTAAAAATCTCCTGGACTGTAAAACCACAAGAAGAAAAAAAA